TATTTTAAAGGAGACATATTATGCCCCTTTTTACAATATGTAATATAAGTCTCTTGTGTCCCCAGAATGTGTCTGTGAAGTTTCAGCTCAAAATACGCCACAGATGATTTATTATAACATTTTCAAAATGCCTATTTTTAGTGGTAGCAGAAACACGCTGTTTTTCGGGCCTGTCTCTTTAAATGCAAATGAGCTGCTGCTCCCCGCACCCTTTTCCAGAATAGAGCTGCGCCTTTACAGCTCGTATCTGCTAAAACATCTGTTTTGGTTCTATTATCATGTTTATCGCGCTGAAATCATGCGTTTTAAACCATATTAGTTTAAACTTCTGATATACGGTTTTCTGAGAGCACACATCCGAAGCACACGGATAGAAAGCGGCTGTCACAGCATGTGAGTACTAAACTAAGTTCTCATTCACACACAAGTTTACTTTAAAAACACATGAGTTACAAAAACAGTCGGTTATGTCTGTGAAGGTAAACAGCTGGGAAATAAATCGCTTGTTTATTTTAGATCTGTGTGGCAGCAGCAATATACAGTAGCCTAAATAAATCAACAAATCCACTGCTTTCTTGTCTCCTCTGAAGCTGGGACTCTAAATAGTGTTCTATGCTGGTCTGTGCAGCCAAAGGCAGAACAGTTAGCATGTTTTGCTCACGTCCTTGACCTAAAACCCTCCTAAATGTTGTTGCCTTACTGTACATATGTTTTTATGAGTTATTACAGATGAGATAAATTTTTTGGTTTTCTTTTTGTGCCACAGATGCAGAACCCTGAACATTGTAAGCAGATAAACATCAAATTTTCATTTTTGGGTGAACTATCCCTTTAACAGGTCACAAGTGTTTATGTATTTTATCCACTAGAGGGCGCTAGAAAGAAAACTCTCTCTATGTCTGGACAGTCTGAGAAATGTCTGGATTATATTGCACTTCTAGATCTTAAAAACAGTGTAGCAACTAGCAAGCTGTTTTACTTGAATTTATATTGTGTGTATGTTTTTCATTTTACCAAGTAAAGTATGCAAACGTATATTTGTTTTGTTCCTACATCAAGACAAGTGTGATTTTAGCCAGTCAGTTTACAGATGTTTAGCTGATGGTGAAAATGATTAGTTGTTTATGGCAATGACTGCACATTTCTTTTTTAATTCCGTTTCACTTGCGTTTCTGCCACCACTGGAACATGGCTTTTATGACAGGCACTCTGATTATGATTATCCCCTTGAGCAGTGTTTTCACTTCTTCTTTCAGTCATGCTTAGTTTTTTGAGGTGGGTTTCGGTCTGTCGTGGGTGTCGTGTGAAAGCAGGGCTCCCATATGACACCTGTAGCTGGGCGGTAATTGAGCCTGACGTCACTGATGACAAATCTCTTTCTCTAATATGAACCTTCACCTTTAAACCTCCTTGATCTTTTCCAGGTACACTTGCAATGGACAGTAAACAATTGTTGATTGTTGTACGTTCATTCTCTTTGTTTAGCACATTAGTAGTAGAGTTAAGCATTACTGTCATGGTACTGGCTTGAATTATAGTTACAGAATATACACAAAACACACAAAAACCTGCCTTTTTCGGCACAGAATCACTGTTATTTTCATATTAGGTATACAAATAAGCCAGTAAGCACCATGATTTTGCTGATGTAGTAAATAATGAGAGGCTTGTGTGATTTGTTCGAACTCAGTTGGATTGTTTTATGGTAAAAAAAAATTGGATGGTGAGAGAAAGAGAGAGAGTGCTTTAAAATTGTAGTTTTTCTGTAAATGGTACCATGTTAATACTATGCTTTTGGGCATATGGGCTACTATGGTATTCTTTGAAGTACCATGTACTTAATGTGGTACACTACTTTTCAGAAGTTTTAAGTTTCAGAAGACATTAATACTTTTATTCAGGAAGGTGTTGTGTTAAATTGGTCAAAGGTGACAGTAAAGACATTTATTATTTTACAAAACATTTCTATTTCAAATAAATCATGTTCTTTTGTATTACCATCTGATCCCACAGTATTTTAATAAAATGTGAAGCTCACAGAAATAAATCACAGTCTGCCTATAACAGAAACAAGTGCTGGCAAATGGGATTCAATCGACAGTGCCTCTTCAAACAAGCTAAAAAGTAAAAAGGATTGTGACCGGATCAATGTCGAGGGTGGTGTCAGTGAGTTTTTTTCATTAAAGGGGTCATATGATGCGATTTCATTTTTTTCTTTCTCTTTAGAGTGTTACAAGCTCTTGGTGCATAAAGAAGATCTGTAAAGTTGCAAAGACTAAAGTCTCAAATCCAAAGAGATATTCTTTATAAAAGTTAAAGGCGGGGCATAGAGGAGAAACAATAATGTAGAGTATCTTGAAAATAATGTGTTTTTTTAACTTTAAACCGCATAAACACATTTCATTACACCAAATACACAAAATAATGTTCTTTTTAACAGCATCATATGACCCCTTTAAGCTAGCAAAAGCCCTCGACGTTAGAGAGTCCCTGCCTCCTGCCCTCTCCGCCTGCTCCCTTTTTCCCCTCCATCTTTTCCCTCCTTCATTGCTGTCTTCATGTTCGTCAGTGAGTGACTACATCTGGCCATGGTTTGATTAGGTGAGTAGGTTGTGCTTATGCCTGCAGCCATATGGGTTTTGTGTTAATACCGCTAGACTAGCCAGCAGCAAACGTGACTGAAGATTTTCCGGTCGCCTCCTTTCACCCCCCACCCAGCACATCCGCTTCAACTCCCCATTCTCCCTCCTCTACTCATTTTTCATCTTGATGGTGGCACCTTGCCGTGAACGCATTAGCTGATGTTGGCACACTGATCTGTGTCTCAGTGTTTCGCTGCACTTGATGTGATATACATGCCAACAGCTTGTATAACCCTTAAACACACTCCTGCTGGCTCACGTTTATTCTGGAAGACTCTTCTGGCCGCTGTGAGGACTGACAACACAGCCGTTCAGGACAGAAGTAAGGGTTATGGCCATCATGACATCATGGTTTCTCCTCATTCCGTTATCAGCATCATCAAGATAAACTTTAGCACAGTGATAAAGATTTCCCCTCATCGCTTCTGCTTTCCAAACATCTCGTAGCAGGATTGGACAGTTACACACCAGTGCTCTTTGTGTCTATGTACTGAATGAGTGAATCTCACAAAAACATGTCCAGGGCACATTTCAGAATACCATGAAGCCAAATTGTCATTATTTTAAAGCATGCAGATGTTTTACTTGAAGTTTCAATGGTTATTCTAATTATAAACTCATAAATGTATTTATTATTTTTTTTAAATGTGAGTAATTTGGTTATTTTTGGATTTGTATTTTATACACCACACACACACACAGATATCTGTATCTATTTATTTATTTTATTTATTTATTTATGTGTATTTTTGCACATTTTTCACGGTTGCTCCATTTATTTGATCAAAAACACAGCAAAGAAAAATAATACTGTGAAATATTATAATTTAAAGTGTTTCTGTTTGAATATATTTTAAGATGTAGCTGAAGCTGGATGTAATCCGGTTTTTTAATTTACAGTTTATACATTTTTAATAATGTAGTTTCTGATTTATTTCTTTTGAATTTGGAGTGAAATAAAACCCCCGGCATGTTCTTAACAGATTTTGTGGGATTCATCCATATATATCCTTGTGTCTGTGCCAATATAGTCAGTGTCTGGCTGCGCATGCCCATATACGATCAAAACGTTTGAACGCGTGCAGGACGCACACATGGTATGGTATGGATGTGTGTGTGTGTGTGTGTGTGTGTGTGTAAGCAACTATCCTGCACTATGTGCCAGTGTGATGGAACCTTATGGCGGTGTGTCGGTGTGTGACTTTGAGAGGTAATCCCGGTCTCTGTGACGTGGATCACCTGCTTTCCTAGCTGCTCGTCAACAGATGGAAACTCGAGGATTAGCTCTATAAGAGCGACGGCTGACAGAGCGAGACAAAACAACCTCAACAACTCGCAGAAAGAGACAGGGGATATATGTGAACAAAACTACATTGATTCCAGGCTCTCTAGAGGGGGAAACAAATCAATCTGACTACAGAGACTGACAAACATTCTCTGAAGAAGTTTGAGAGCAGAACGCAAGGCAGAATCCAAACATTACTTTTGAGTTTTTCCTATAAGACTCCATTTCGTTGGAATAGTTGAGACATGACTGTTATCAAGGTCAAACAGTGAGTATCTTTGGGCATGTTTTTGTCTTGTTCATTCTGTAATTGGTAAGCTAATAGTTCTTTAATCGTTTTTAACAGCCAAGCCAACCCTTAATTATAAGGTGTTGAAAAGTCTAGAAAAAAAAAATAGAATACAGTGTCATTTATCAGTGGTTATTGTCATTTGGTTTGGTTTTTAAGTTTAACATAAGAACAATTTTACATTAGTTGTCTTTACTAGTAGTTCTAGGTGAACATCTTGGTTTGACAGTAGTTTTTGATTGTTAACTTTTATAGTTTACCTCATATGTTCTGTAATGTTGAAGTGAAATGCTCTGGAAATGTTTGACCCAGTACACACTAGCAATCTGAATATCCCCACATATGGACAACAGGTTGTCCGGTCAGGTGAGGTTTTGATGTGCGGCACACACTGCTGTTGTCTGCTGACTCGGTGCCAGTTTTGTTAGTGGCAGCAGCGGGTTTGCCAGAAGATGTGACCTGGTTTACATACCGCAGCGTGACTCGGCATGTCTGCAGGTCAGGATGGGGGGTGATACACAAGCAGGTGTAGCTGGGACAACAGCATGGTTATTTCTGTTGGGATCCAGATTATGATTATCAATAAGACCGTTGAGGTGTGTGTGTGGGTGTTTCTGATTGGTGAGTGGTTGCTTGCGTAGTGGAAGCATGTGTTTCATGTCTTATTTCTTTTTTGATACCTTTATAGGGTCCCCACCGTCCCAGTGAAGAACTTAAATGGATCCAGTCCTGTCCATCCAGCTTTGGCAGGTGAGAAACAATATGCAAATAAGTTATAAATAGCGACTGTGAAGATTAAATATAGTAAGATTTGAGATAATTTTGTAACTAAAGATGCTGAATCTAAAAATAGATGGATATAAAACAGATGAGATTGTCTCTTCTCGTTGGTTAGGTATCACTGGGATTCTAATGAGTGCCGCTGGACTCCCGGTCTGCTTGACCCGCCCACCCAAACTTGTGCTCCACCCCCCACCTGTCAGCAAGAGCGACATCAAACCTGTACCAGGCCTCGGCCACTGCTGCCGGAAAACTACAAAGAAGCAGGCCCGCAAAGGCAAGGAGCAAAGACAGTTTAATGCAAATTACAATTACTGTAAAAAAAAAAAAA